TGCATGTGTGAATTATTGGTTTGTGGTGCTAGCGAATAATAATATATCCATACCATGTAAATGTATTTGTTATAAAAATTACAGAATCGTTCCGACATTTTACAATGCTCTGTGGAATGGTTGTGTAATATATTATACAAGGTTCATAAGTAAATTATACCACCGGTATTATAGGAACAATACTTTATCTATGTATAAAAACAAAAAAAAGGATAAACAACGTACAGTTTGCTAAACAACTTCTATATTTATGTATATATTAAAACATGATCCATAAAGAGGTTAAATCCACATAAAACACATACATATATATAGAAATACACATATTTTTTAGGGTTGTTTACATGATCAGCCTTAAGATTTAATTGAAACTATTAAAAAAATGCAATGTGTATACAACATATATCCGGATATATTGGGCAGATCGCTATACTGTGTTACGTTACCTACAATAACGATTGAATATGACTATCTTGCCATACCAAATGTTAGAAAGCACATCCATATATATATTTCTACTTGGATAGCTTTGATAAATTTGTTTTGCATATGAAAATAAATTTGGCTATGCTAATAAATAGAATTGGTTAATAAAGGAATGGCTATTAGAGATGAAAGGAGAAAAGACAAATTGAAACTAAGTGAAAGGATGGAGAAATGCAGGAACGATAACAGAGGGCTACTCAGAAAAAATATTTGCGCATAACATTTGTAGTAAATTGCACGAAGCCTACGTACGTACACCTAAGCTAATCAGTCGTAATCATCTTTTATTATTAGAAGTTCTAATTTTATATATATTAAAGAAAAGAAGTAATTCTGAAGTATTTAATAGTCATGGTTAGCAGAGTTATATTAATAATGCCTGTGATAATAGTATCGTCAGGATAAGTTGTGTCCTTACAGAGTCTCTGATGTTGTTGCTAGGTAAATATAATTAGTGGTACCAATAAGATACTGTTAGCGATGCCTTGTGGAAGGTGTAATTTATGTTTAATGCACAATAACACCCGACACAATGTCACGAATGGTCTCTAATGGTACATTAAACATAAGAAAAAAAAAAAGAAAAAAAAATTGAGAAAAAAAATAAAGAGAATATGTTGCAAAATTTTTGCCAGTCGTATTTAAAGAAGAGGAAGAAGATGAAAAAAAAAATGAACTCATAGTGTAATGAATGGATGACCATTAATGAGAGGGTCTTTTACCTCACAAAAATTATTATATTACGCTCACCTTATATATACTTGAATATTTTAGTATAGATTTACTCTATTTACATATTTTTATCTGTGGAAGACTACTTGGCTAATTTAGGCCACTGTTGAAATTCACCCCTTATTTGCCTTGATGTTTAAATTACAATAATAATATAAAAAGGAAAAAAAGAAACGAGGATTACTTGTTACGTAAATGGTAATTGTGATAGATTTTTTGATGATTTTTACAATCTCAAAAGTCTTATTATCCTAATATGTATAGAATTATAATAGTCACTCTCTACATAAAAACTACATTAAAGAAACTCTGCTTACATTGTTAACAAAAAAAAAAACTAATAATTATTAAATGACAAGAAGTAATGAAATATATCACCTTATTGTAAGCAGTTTAGGAGACTA